AGCCGCGGCGGCCTGGGCGCTGTCCCGCGGCGCGGAGCTGCTCCCGTGGGCGGCCGGCGGCTCCGAGGGTCGCGGAGACGCGGCGCGAGCGGGAGGGAGCTTTGCCTTGCATCTGTTGGGCATATTGCTGTGTGGGATTACTTCACCGTCTAGCAATTTGGTGCACATAAATCCATTTCTGCTGGCTGGTAAATACTGAGCAGAGAGCAACATATATTTATTTAGCCATTAAAGAACGGCAGAATATAATTTATTGTTACAAAGCCACTGTTTGCACACAGAGAGGCTCTTTTTCTTGATTGCAAAATGAGAACAAAATATAATATGCTGGGATGCAGAACATTCCCGAAATGGGGGCTGGGCCAGCAAAAATTTATCAAGATTTTCAGAAAGGGGCTTAAATGATGCAGCTGCCAGATTTGTCAGGCTCACGTACTGCAGTTCTTAATCTTCCTGTCTGTAATCTCCTCTCGCCGTGGCAGGGTCAGGCCTGTGCTTGGCCTGCCCCTGTCTGCAGCTCGGCCTTTCATCCCCTCCGGGTCCTTCTCAGCAAGTGCTGCCTTTGCTCAGGACTGAGAAAGGCCGAGGAAACGTCGCATCACGGAGAAGCACAGAGGGAGTTTTTCCCAGGAGCAGAGAGGCAGCTAAAACACGAGATGGGCGAAGCAAGCCCGGATTCTGCCGCCCTCTCCTGCCTGGCTCTGCTCCATCACCAGCAGCACTTCCAAAATGCTCAAGTGGGATAACACTAAAGTGCAGAAGTGGGACTTCAGGACAGGGTCTTTCTACTCTCTTTTGAAAACTGCATCTGGTTAATCAGCAGATCTGCTTCCATGTGCTGTGGGTGTTGCTAGAAAAGCTCCTCCAACGTCTTTGCAATATCCTGGTTTAGTACCTTAGCTGTTGTTGACCTGTTTTAATTATTAGCTGAAGCACCCGTTGCTGTTCTGCTGGGATGTACTTTATTCTGACCCTGTTCTCCTCTGTGCTCCTCACACCGCAGGGCTGGACTTCCATTTTAAAGCTCTTACCTGCTCTTCTAGTACATCCAGAACCATTTCTGAGTCTTAGTAAAATTCCAAGCTTGAAATGAATCTGCTGTGTATTTGATCTCTCTCTCTCTCAAAAAAAAAAAATCCATCTAGTCTTTAGGATCTAAATCAACCTGAAGCTTAACTTGTCTTGAGTTCAATTATGTGACAGCAGAAATTACAGTATTTAATAATGATATAAATAATCCTGTAAAACAGCCTTCTGATCACTACTAGAAACTCCAGAGGTAAAGAGACTGAAGGAAATATGCATCTTAATGCTTTGTACTTAATTCTGTAGAGTGATTCACAGTCACATACGGCCACCAGTGACTTGAAAAAATACAGTAACAGTTTGTCATGCCAAAAGCCTTATTTCTCTACTAGTAGAATTAGATCAGATCAGATGAATTGACTCTGAATTCAGTTTCCATAAGAGACCTTTCTGTTTGTCTTTTCCTACACCAGTCAACAAGTGTCTTTGAGAAGCACAGAAGAGCAGATGTTCCATAACAAAAACTTCAGTCCTCTGTTCCAGAAACGCAGAACAAGATGCCCCCTCTTCACTTCTAATAGACTTGATTCTGCTGATGCGTTTCAGAGATGACTTAACAAGAAATCACGTATTTGATGCTTGATCTACTAAGCACAGCACCTTTTCCCTGCTGCTATTGCTTTCTCCGCCTTCTCTCCTGTGATAAGTCATTAATAGGGTGACACGTAGCCCGTGTTACGCTGGGTGCACCGAGTGCCTTGGACAGCACGGACTCGTCCATCTGTGTGCACACAGCTGGCTGAGTGGATGGGACCAGCAGAGCCCATCTGCTTACACTGTTCTAATACAATTTTCTGCTGTGAAAAGGAGAAGGAATCTGGGTCTGACATGTAGCTTAGGGTATTGAGAATGACATAACAGTAAAGGCACTCATAGCCAGTGATGGGCTGAAAGTGATAAAAGTAATAATGAATCCCTCCCGAGGGCACGGGCAGGGCTGTCTGTGCCACACTTAATGCCTTGCGGATGGCGCTGAGCGGCAGGGACGTGTGTGGGGACTCGGTCACCCAGGGAGGAGGCCTCGTTGTGCGGCTTTGCCCCGATTCCCCGGGCGAGCTGGGGGCCCACGGATGGGCACAGGGCCTGCCCAGCTGTGGGACGTGGTCTGGGCCAGGCTGACGCTCTGGAATCTCTGTGTTGGCAGCGTGAACGGAGACGTGCGCTTCTTTGACCCCAGGATGCCCGAGTCCATGAAGGTCCTTCAGATAGTCAAGGGGCTGACGGCTCTTGACATTCACCCGCAAGCCAACCTCTTTGCGTGGTAAGTTCTAGCTTCACCCCTTCCATCCCTGGAGTGCTCAGAGGACAGTTGGTCTCTGCAGTCACCATTCCTGGGGTTCGGTTTGGGTTTGTGCTGTTTACTCTCCCCGTGAGCAGTGCAGCTTCGTCCCCATGTTTGCAGGTGAGGTCTTTGATCCCCCGCATGCAGCAGTGGAACCTCTGCACGGGAGCCGTGGGGAAAGGCGCCTGGTCTGTCCCGCTGCCAGCAGGTTCCTGCTGGGAACATCCCTGCCCGCTGGGGCTCCCAGCGCCGGCTCCGCAGCCGCTTCCCTGCACGGCTGCCAGGGACCCCTTTTTCCGCGAGGGCATCGTGTGGGTGGCACTGCCAGCTCTGTGGGCCGAGTCCCTTTGTGAACCTCTTGGGACTGTTGCAGTTAAGCGTTACCAGAGCCTTCTCAGTGACACCAGCTTCTCTTTATTCGTTTGCAGTGGCTCAATGAATCAGTTCACTGCAATCTACAACGGAAACGGAGAGCTGATCAACAATATCAAATACTACGATGGTTTTATGGGACAAAGAGTTGGAGCCATCAGCTGCCTGGCTTTCCATCCTCACTGGGTCTGTGTTGTCTCTTTCTGGAGCTTGGGATTTCGGGGGGGATGTTGGTGTTGGAACAGGGAGAGGTGCAGAGTCTCCTGCAGCACCAAGGGCTGCTGCCCCATCCCGGATTTGTGCGGGTCTTGGAGCCTGGTGCTGCAGGCTCTCCCAGACAGGGCTGCATTGGAGCTGCAGCCAGCGCCGCGGCTTTAGGCCATGCCCGTGGGGCTAGCGCGGAGCCCCCACGCGCTGGCCCTTTTCCCCGGGCCGCGCTTGCCGTGGCGCTGCCGGGAAGCCGGGCCGATCCCCGTCCATTCCGCAGCTTTCCATGGAGCCGGTGGGAGAGGTGCAGCCTGGCAGCGGCAGCCTGCGGGGCTGCCGAGTGCTGCAGAGCGCCGTGTCCCCGCGGCTGCTTCCACCCGGCGCTTATGTAACGCTGCTGGAAGACCTAATGCTGTGCGGTAGGAAAACTGCTTGTCAGAAAAATAAAGAGTTCTGCAAAAATTACAGGCATAAGCTGATGAAATATAAAGTGGCTTGGAGTAAAAGGGAAGTTTCTAAATATGCCCCTGCTGAGCTGACTCTGCAGCAGTGGCCAGAGAGAAGATCCGGTCACTGCTTGGGTAGGAGGCAAGTGCCCATCTGCATTAGGGACTTCTGCTCACACTGAGATGAGAATAAGTGAAGGAGACAGACTGAGAAGGGGTAGGAAAAACAGGAGGAGGTTAAAGAAGGCATAAACAGGCAGTTGTGTTAGAAACCTGCACATCAGAACTCAAATATCTGTAATGGGAAAGAACAGTGGGAACGAGAAAAGACCTGGAGGGGAGGAGGAATGAAATATGCTGAGATTTGGTGCTGCCTGGGCTGGGAAAGATGTTTTTCTGCCTAGGTTATATGGGCTTATATTCTGGAAGTAACAGGGTTAAAGAAGAGCTTATCTCCTCCTTGGTTTTGAAAGGTCACTTTGCAGCAAACCAAACAGTGATTTTGCTATGTTGCAGTGTGTGGGGAATAGAGAAAGAAGGGGCTAATCGCTTGAATCTTCTGCTTTTTCAATATGCAAACAACCGAAGCCCTGTCTAGCCCAGAGCCCCAGGGCAGGAGCGGTTCCTGGCCCTCCCGATAGCGGGAATGCTGATTGCCAGCCCGGGACGCTGCTCATAACCAGCAGATTTGCAGTCATTCGGAAAAATTATGTTCGGCTTTGGCAACGAGTAGTCACCGTAATTTTTCCCTCTGGCTGAAATAGGGGTGCGTAACTTGCCGGCACAAAAAACAGGAATGTCATCAGAGCTGCGTTGGCAGATGCACTTAAGAGCTTTCTGGGTGCTCCTGCTGGAAACGTCGCCCATTACCGTTTTCTCCCCTTACTGCGCAACACCTGAGCGTTTATCCCTGTTTTGCTCTCTTTGCACAGCCTCATCTGGCAGTCGGAAGCAATGACTACTACATCTCAGTGTACTCAGTGGAGAAGCGGATCAGATAACGGCTCAGGGCAGCGGCACTGGAGAAAGGGAGTCCCAGCGGTCAGGGCCGTGTCTCACCTATAATGTACATAGCGAAATTATCGACTTGAATGTTTAGTGTTGGCTGCTGCTGCAACCCATAACTTGAACATTTTTGTTTCTGACTTAGCTACTGATGATTTTGACAAGGGGAAGAGAGACAATCTCCTATTTTTTTTTCAGCTGTATCCTCTAAAAGCTACAGAAAAGGAATATTTTATTTTTGTTTCCAGTGGTTGGCTTCTCTGTTAGAAACACGGCTCCTGAGCTTGGAAGGACTGGATGAGGCAATACCCTTGAAAAGGGCTTTTTGTTTTAGCCTTTGCTTTTGTTTTGCTGGAGCGTAGGTCGCTTTAAGGAGCGAAGTCGGGACTTGCCTACAGCTCCGTGCATTCGACCAGACCTTGGGACCCTCCGGCC